AACACTTGTCAGTTAAGCTAGGGTTACTGACCCAGGTAGCAAGAAAACTGGGAGCTTCTGGTGGACAGGTGGCTTACTGGGACAGCAGGGAGCCTCAAGGCACTCATCGGCAGAGTCAAAGAGTTTTATAACACTTGTTTGAGCAGGATAGAAGTTAAGCCCAGGCTCCAGTGGAAAGACATGTCTGTGGGCAAGGGCAAATAATTTCAGTAAAAATTATTTTGGATCTGGGCAATCTCTTCCCTACTGATTAACTGCTTCTGAAAACCTGCTGGAGGGTCAGCTATGGGTTAGTTCTGACAGTACATACCACACACACAACATAATTCCAAATCTACTACTAGACAGTCAGCTTTGAGTTTTTACTTCTATAATTAAGCCCCATAGTCATATTTTTTGTGACTTGGGTGAGGCCATTGTGAACATAGCAGTGAAGTGCTGTGAGGGATGGCTGGTTCAGAACTGGTAAAAAAGATAAAGAAGGAATGTCTGTCTGACTTCTACCTTCTAGAAATCAGCCTAAGGTTGATCTTAATTCCACTTTGCTCTTGTGAACTTAGAGAAGGAAAGTCAATACCCTTCTGTCTTTTTTTTTCTAGTAAAACAACTGAAAAAGGTTCATTAAGGCAATAAGACAGAGAGAACACAGAGACCACAGACATGGCTAGTAAAAGGTGGGCCATGCAAAAAGTTAAAGTGAAATAGAAAGAAACAGGAAGAGAGGGAAAGGACTCTCAGAAAGATAGGAGTGAACCCAAATCTTACAGCATGCTATCAGCAGAAAAGGAGAGAGAAAAAGGCTCTGTCATATCTTATAGTGAGCTTTTCAACTCAAAACTCAAACTCACTGCCATGGAGTCAGAAATCAACTCATATCTGACTCTCCAGCAGATTTTCTAATTTCATGGAAAGAGATTTCCCATCATTCTAGAGGAACAGCGGTGGACTTGAACCATACAGACCCAGGCCTTGGGTTAGTAGCATAACTCCCTACAGACCACACCACCAGAGCTCCCCAGTGAGCTCTTAGCTCTCTCTATAACAGACAAAGTTTCTGGAATTTCTACCACAGCTAAGACAAAGGTAGACTCTCTGCCCCAGAACAAGCCCTATCCCTTGACCGCTCACAGAACATCCTGAGACACAGACTCCTGGTGTCCCTAGCAATATCTTATCTTTGCTTGGTCGCAAAGAGCAAACAGATTAATAGCTACCGAGTGCTTGGCATAAAGGGTGTACAGACAGAGTCAATCCCTAAAAAACACTAGTGAGAAAGAAGTCTTTCTCTTCAACTGACTCTACTGAACCTTACACAATATCAAACCACAGCACAAAGGTCTTGGGAGGGGCTTCCTGGAGGCCAGACAGGGGAAATGTAGACTAAATGGTTGGTGCTAATTGTGATCCAGTTGGATCATGGTTACACTGTGTATGCAGAGCACAAGCACTCCACTGGGTTTTCAAGGCCATATCTTCTCAGATGCAGGTCACCAGGTCTACCAGTGAACCTCTGGGAGGTTCAAACCTTCAACCTTTCAGCTATTGTTGTTGTTAGATGCTGTCAAGAAGAGCACAACTCATAGCGACCTTATGAACAAAAGATAAGAACCCTGTTTTATCCTGAGTCATCCTTACACTTCCTGACATACAAGAGCCCACTGCAGTATCACTACATCTGTTTGAGGGAACCATTTGCACCATTCAGGCTATGAAGAATTGAATCAGAGATTAGTTCTGATAAATAACCTCCATTCAGGGACAAAAACTACTCTCCATCCACAAATTTCTCCAGTGAGGATCTCTTGACAGTTGGAATTAATATGGCAACTTCTCCCTAGTTCTTCATTGACCCAAGGCTGCTTCAACCTGTGATGTTCTCTTACCCACTATTTCCCCCTCCCCTATTATTTTTATATGGAATATAAAACCATATATATATGTGTATGTATGTATATATATGTATGTGTGTATATATATATATATATATATATATATATATACTTTCTTAACACTTGTCTGTGTGTATTTTCTTGACGCCTGTTCCCACCTAGGGGGAGCTCTGGTGTTATAATCTATGATGAGCTGCACTGCTAACCCAAAGGCCGTGTGTCTGGCAGTTCAAATCTACCAGCTGCTACAAGGGAGGAAAATGGGCAGACTTCTTCCACTAGAATTTACAGCCTTGGAAACCCAATAGAGGTTCACTATCAGTCATAATCAACTCAAAAGCAATAAATTTGCTTCCCACCAGGTCATTGCAGATGTGAACCTGTTTAACCAGCTCTTTATCAGTATTAAAAAAGATATATGCTAGGGGAGCTCTGGTGGCCTAGTGGCAAGAAGCTGCACTGCAATCCCAGAGGAACACGGTTCGAATCCACCAGATGCTCTGCCGGAGAAGGAGGCGCAATATCCTCCTGTACCAGTCAGATCTGATTTGACGGTACACGCACACAAAATAAAAAATAAAAATAAAAAAAAAGATATATGCTGTCAAAGATCAATGATAAAAACCCACAAATCCACCTTCTGTAAAACATTCCCTTGAGCCTCCTTGTTCCCTTTCCCCTATTCTAAATGTAAAATTGGGAGAAAATAGGTTTGTTGAAAATGTAGTCATTTCTTTAGCTTCCTTCCTAATCTGAGACCATGCTTTTTCTGGTAAAAAAGGGAGGAAGGGCTAGAGGCAGGCCCAGCAGGTAAGGTTAAGGAACATAAAGTTAGGAAATAAGCCTCATCACCCAAATTGATGAATCCTCCTGACTCAAATATAATTTATGCTAGCTGCATTTAATTTACATGTTGTTAATTTAGAATCAGAGTAGCCAAAAATTGCCTTACACCTTTTTTCTCTCTTCTTTTCCTCCCAAATAGCACTTAAGGTGAGTTTTGGAAGCAGATGCCAGAAGTTTAAAAAGCTTGGCGAAAAGCAAGACTCATTTCCTATCTTTTCTGTCCAGCGTCAAAAATTATCAATAATTAAATGGATGTTGGGCAGCTAGATGGCTTGCGGTATGAGCCAAAAGGAACCAGAAGCTGGATACCCAAGGGAGCCGGGTCTCAGAGAGATCAGCCCGGAGATAAGTGGGTTGAGTTAGGAGGCAGGGCAGGAAATACAATGGAGAGTTTCCGCCCTGCAAGGTACATTGAGGATTTCAGATTAAGAAAGTCTGAGAGGGAAGGTATTCAAACCAACCACCGATCCATTATTTTTCTCTTCTACCGCAGCTCCACAAATTCTACATTTTTTTTCTCTAGCTGGAATTATCCTCTTTAGTGGGTGAAGAAGTTAAAATAGATCTGGCCCCTCCCTACTCGGCAGAATGTAAGAAAAAGTGGGAAGGGGCAAAGCATACAAAATAGACATACAGCTTCAAGAAGCTCCTCCTAGAACCTTCTCCTTTCTCCCCAGATCATGTCCTGTGTCACCTAATCTTTCTCATCTTAACCCAAATCCTCATACAATCAGTGGTTTAGATCTTCTCACCAGAGTAAGTCAAACACCTTCAAAGTGCCCTGGCTACACACTCCAAGAAAAGCCGAGGGTCTTCCCAGAAAGGGAGAAATGATAGTACCGGGCAGCACACCTTACACATATGTTCCCCCCCCCCCCTTTACAGCTCTCCTCCCAACCTAGACTACTGGAGGCGAGGTGGGGGTGGGAGAGGAGATGAAGAAAATTGTTGGTTAAAAAAGTTTTACCTTCAAGACGTGGGTGCTGCTCCAAGACTTGAGAAGGAGGGCTCAGGTCTGGCAAATCGAGGGGGGGTTGCACAACAATGAGGGGCGCTGCCTCAGTGCCAGCAGCCTTCCAGCTGTCAACGCGGAGCTTACACGCTTTACGAGCGGCGTCCAGGCAGGGTTGCGGCCGCTTCCGGACTCACGCCCACGCCCGACCCCGGCGAGCAGGCGGCGGCGCCCCCAGGTGCTCGGGTGGCCCCCAGCGTCTCCGGGATTCGAGGCGCCGAGTCTAGGCAAGCTGGTTTTCAAAGGAAGTTTGTGGTTTTTCTTTTTTCTTCTCTTTCTTCTTTCATCGGGACAAAAAAGAAAAAAAATTAAATTTTTTTTTTTTTTAGTCAACGACAAGGCCCTTGGAGCAGGGGTGGTCTGCCCAGCACTGACAGGTTAACATCTGACCCGGGCTTTCTGACCCGGTCAGCAGCTTTGTGATCAGCAGACAGAGAGAAAGAAACAAGGAGAGAAAAACAACAGACCCTTTCTCTTCCCTCCTCCTGCCGCGGGAGGGACAGAGCACTTGTGCCTCTCTGGTGAGAATGGGAAGAGCAAGGGCCCTTGCTGAGTGGGGAGGAGCAAGGCTGGACAGCAGCTGATGCCAGGATCTGTGCTCTCCCTCCGGATAGCAGTCCATTACAATCCTTTGCAGACAGACCCACAGAAGCAGTCTCAGAAAGCATGATATTTGCTTATTTACTGTAAAAAAACCAACTACAAAAAACCCCTTGCTCCTTTCCCTTTGTCACTTTCAAACTCTTTTCTAATCACCTTTTAGCCTAGAAATGAAACTTGCTGGGCTGGAACCTGGTTGTGCAGAACATGTGGAAGAAGCCCCAGGATCTGGGCGGATAGCGTCACCAGGACAGCCATTAACGGAGCAAACCGACCTATCTTTGGCCTTTTTCCTATCACAGGCCTCTGCTTCTCCTCAGTCACCTCCTTTTTGTTTTTGTTTTTTATTTTTTTTTTTATTGTGCATTGAGTGACAGTCACGTTTTTATAATTCCCAACGTGGGAAGTTGGAAAAGCTAATATGAAGCTGGCGGGAACAAAGGATGAATTTATAAATGAAGGAACAAAATATTGATAATATGAATACCTTTTTATTCGCAATACTTTGTACTATGCTGGGGGCCAAAAAGGTGGCAACTGAGGGACTTGGAACTGAGTCAGTTGTACAATCCAAAGGACCCTCTAAATTCTACTTGTAAGGCTGCCATGGCATGAAGTTTCAAGCAATTCTGAAAACTGGAAAAGCAATTACAAGAATTAGGAAAGCATGGAGCAAAGAACTAAATTTGAAGCAGCCCTGATGAAACATTTCCAGAGCTATGTAGGACAGGCTATGAATTAGTTAAGGGAGGGGCGCCGGGAATTGGTGTCAGTATTAAAAGGACAAAGAGTATTTTGATGTTTATTCCAGTGTGGTCAACCACAAAATCCGTGGCAGTGGGTTAGTTTACTAACATGAACATTTGAGAAAGGAAAATGAAAAGCTGATTTCACTGAGTATAAATTAAGATGTCTCTAGAACGCTTGGCCTAGAGAGAGCTCTGTTGGCCTAGTGGATTGAAAGTGATGCTGCCAAGCCAAAGGTGGATGATTTTAATCTGTGGTCCTCAGGCCTGGTTTTAATTTTTTTTTTTGGTCAAATATTCTTCTAAGTGGTATAAAACTGGTCTGTCCATTTGTTGTACAGCGGTTAAGTCGTAGTTGCTGTGATACTAATAAACACTGTGACACTGATGTGTCATATGCGATAATGGTTCCTGATGGTGGACAGTGTTTGGTGGAGTGCTCTGATTAAAACAAGCTTGGAAGCAGGGGTGGCATCCACTTCCGAAATGACTTGCCTCCGGAAACTCTATGAACGCGGAGCAACGACAAAGTTGTACAAGTGTTCAGGTCTTTTGTTAATAGAGTCTTTATGAGTCGTCTACGACTCAACGGCACTTAAGAACAACAACAGAATGCTCGGTGTAATGTAAAAATGCTATACTAGCCTGACATAAGAAAGCAGCTTTAGTAAGAAAGGCAGGTTACTGTGATGTGTTAACTCTCGGTAAAATTTATTTTCCTAAATTTAGGGGAACAGTTTGGAGTATCAGGACTACGCTTCCCAGGAGGCTCTGCGCTGCGAGTCACTCCCCGCCTCCTAACGAGTCCCAAAAGTCGCGGGGCGCACAATTTCGTGTCCGTCGCTTGCGGGCGGGGCGATGTGGAGCTACGGGGCGTGCCTAAATACGTACTTCCTGCCAGGTCGGGACGGAATCGCCATTTAGCGGGTTCGAGTCCCGCCTCCTGACTCTCGGCTTTTGGCCCAGAGTCTGGGGCGGGGCTCGTTCGCGGGCTAACCTCTCCTGGGTGAGAGGCAGCGGCGCTGCTTCGGCTTCACCATGGAGGACTATCTGCAGGGTTGTCGGGCTGCTCTGCAGGTAACTGATCTCTGCCTGTGACTGTAAGGAATAGGGCGCGAGTCCCGAAGGGCGGCGAGTCCCACCGTCCCTGTGTCGGGAACGCTCGAGTCGTGGGGAGGGGGTTCGAGTATGACAGGCTGAGGGCCCTGAGAACTAGATTTTAGGGTGACAAGAGTGAGCATGCAGCTGTTTCTACGTTTTTGAATCCCCGCCTCTGGGGTCTGCCCGAGAGCAGGAAGAAGGCGTCGTTGATCTGGGTCCTGCATTAAAGCCTCTGCTCCCTGTTTCCTAGATCAATTCCGCCCCGGGGCCGGGCTGTGCCGCCGCCAGGTGTGTGTAGATTCATTTTCCCCACCCTCTCAATTGGCGTCTAAGGCCTCGCTTGGCCCACTAGCTCCCGGTGAGCCCCCTGGATAGAGAGGGAACTCATGCCCTCCGCTTTATTTCCCCAGAACGGCATTCTGCCGGCTGAACTCGTTCTCTTTAAGAAGTGGATATGATGTTTTAAGACCCTGTTTTAAACTAAACATACACATCAGGCATTTCTGTTGACACAAAACATTTATTGCTTTGTTTCCAGCGTTCTTACTTGGCCTTCAATGCACATAAATGACATTTTAAAAACCTCTTCTTGGAAGGGTTGAGTGCAAAGTGTGTTTGGAACCAAAACTGTAAGCATGACCCCTGAATGCTTGTGTTTTATTTTTGGTATAAACAACCAGTTGGACTCATCCACCGTGCTGGGGGTCGTGCAGAATTGGGCTGCTATCCTCAATGGCAAAAACCTATCCGGAGAAGGGGAGGTTTCCAAAGCCCCCTACACGAAGTTAACCTGTTCCAGAAAACTGTACAAATGCATGATTATGCTTTCCTTTTCAAATGTTTTAAACTCTACAAATTCCCCTGAGTAGTATATTCTAATCTTTAAAAAGTCTTGAAATTAATTTAATTGGATATACAGGGAGTTTTGGTGTTATAGTGGGAAAAAGTTACACTGCCAACCCAGAGGCAAGCAATTCAAATCCACCAGGTGCTCCTCCTTGGGAGAAAGATAGGCAATCTCTTCCCTCCCTTGCGATTTACAACCTCTGAAAACTTGCTGGAGGATCACCTGTAAATTTAAGTTCTATGTACAGGTAAACACTAACAGTTTATATAAATTGAAATTGTAAGAGTGGTAAATGCGTATAGAGAAAAACTTAAAAAAATTAAAAAGATAAGGTATAACAAAGAATATAAAAAGGTGGTTTTCCTTTTCTCTTTTCTTCATCTGATTCTCTAGAGTACACCAGTGTGTTCCATATCTTGTGTAAAGAAAGACATGATTTATACAGAAACACTGTTAAACCTGAGAGGTTTGTTAACCTATATATAGTGTAGCTTGGAAGGAGCCGTGACTGGCTTGAGCAGGACAGAGGCAGCTGGTGGTGTAGCCAAGTGTATTGATAAAATATTTTTAGCATTCAATATGAGGCTGACTTTCTACCATCGCTGCCACAGTTAATACTAGGATGTTCTGTGTTTTAAAAAATTCCACTTAAGTAAATGTCCTATTTGTAGTGACTCATCTTTCACTTAATAGTTTACAAAAGTCTTTGCTTTATGAGCTAAATTCAAGTTTAGGCACCCACTCAGACTTTGAATAATCTGTTTTCTATATTTCTCAGGCATGAGCCAGGAATCAGGCCTTTTCTCCTTAGAAATTTGAGGTCCTGGCATTATTCTTATTTTCTCTACTGAGCTTCTTAGTGTCTGACTTCTTCTCCCCACCCCCCTTCACTATAATCAGCTTTCAGATGGAAATAATTTGCTTTGTCAGCCCTGCAGACCACCTCCATTCCCATTGAGATTGCAAAGAAACCATCAGTACAAGACTTATTTCAACTAGTGGTTCGGTTTTTCTCTTTTAAGAAAGAAAAGGTTTATATTTACTTGTAGCTCTCAGATTGTATTTCTTCCATCTGCAGCTCAAGTTTCCTCATGTAGCTAAGTATAGCTGTATTTGCTCTGAACTCTTCCCCTGATGGTCAGAAAACAGACGGTTGGCTTGTGCTTTCAGCTGCTGTGGGTGGAGTGGAGGGAGGCTAAGCATTCACGTGTTGTCCCACACGAGGCAAATCAAGAACGATGCCTTCTAAGTGAAGCAACCATATACCCAGTTTGTCCAAGACAGTCTTAGTTTACTAATCATAATGACTAATAGAACCCTTTCACTCTCAAAAGTGTCCAAGTATGAAAGACAAGTAATAAATATAGTTAACCAACTCATAAACTGTGTTAACATGTAGCTGCAAATGATGGCAAAATGTGTTTCTAAGTACAGTTGTCAATTTAAAAGTGTGTGGCAACATGTTATGGATGTGGAATGCAATCCTCAAGGTAGAAGTTCCGTAGAACAGCCATAAGTGGTAGAAGTTTGAGGCTAGAAGATGAGAAATGATCTTGCATGGGTGGTCAAAGCAGGGTACACAAAAAGGGGGGTTTGTGTCAGGATAGAAGGAGCCCTGGTAGCACAGTGGTTAAAGTGCTTGGCTACTAAAGACTCCAGCTCCACACCAGAAGGAAGATGTGGCAAAATCACCGCCTTGGAAACCCTTTGCGACAGTTCCACTCTGTGCCTACAAAGTCACTGTGAGTTGAAAATAAATCAAAGGCAGTGGATCTGCTGGGTTTTGTTGTTTGGGTGTTTTTGGTTGATTTCTTTAGGTGAGGAGAGGTTTGAGTGGATAGGGAAGGGGAGAGAAAGAAGATGGGAGAGGGGTACTATTTAGAATGGACAATTATGTGCTATCTCATTTCCTCATTACTCCGTTAAATAAGGGAGCTTTCGTGGCTCTCATTTAATAAAGCTGTGCTTCAATCTCAAAGGCATGTGATTCAAATCTACCAGTTGCTCCATGGGAGAAGGATAGAGGGTCTCCTTCAGTGCCATTTACTGCCTCCGAAAACACCCTGGAAGGTCAGCTATGAGTTGGTTCAGACCCGACAGCATACTACAACTCCATTAAATTGGTCATGGTGTTATTCTCTCAAGTATAGAAGGAAAATGAAGTTTAGAATGGTCCCACCAAAAGAAGCAGAATTGGGAATTTAGCATTAAAGTTTATAGTCTTTTCAAATGGTGTCTCTGCTGCCTCAAGAAGGGGGGGAGAACAAAGAGTGCAAAGGAGCTGGGAATGTGTACATGATGTTGGGGGTGGTGAATAGACCAGTCAGGCTGGGTGAGTGGTTGATGCTGATGGGGGAAAGAAATGCCACCACCACCTCCTTTAGTCATCCCCATTTCAAAAATTTGCCAGGAGTCGCTTCTCTATTCCTTTTGTATTACTTCTTTGTGGTTGCTGACCAGGCTTTGCAGAGTGCAAGAGGAATGCCATTTAGTTGTTCCCTTTAGAGATTATTTCATAGTCATGATCTTGGACATCTGACTGATCCTGATTCAGCTGCTGCTTGGAATGAAGCAGTATTAATTTAAATGAGTTTTGGAAAGGTTCTCTGAAGACCTCTCTGTACTCAGTGATAGATCTCTTCCCAGTTCCCTGTCTTTTCTCTGTTGTTTTTACCTCCTTTTCTCCATATGGCTTCTCCTGTTTATGTAAGTTAGCTCTCTGGAGAACACAGTGCCCTGCCTTATTGCTTGAGTGAGCAAGTTATCTCTGCAGCCATTTATCTCAAGTGTTTTGCTATCACTTTGGTCCACAGCCATCTGGGCAGTTCTTGGTGTCCAGGAAACACAGCCTTCTCTGTTATCAAAGAGTAGAAATTGAAATGAGAAGGGTTACTATATGACTTTTGTTGTTGTTAGGTGTCCTTCAGTCAAGTAGGACTCCTAGCAACTCTCTGAACAACAGATCTGAACCCTGTCCTATGCCACCCTCACAATCTTAGACACCCTCAAGTCCATTACTGCAGTCACTGTGTGAGTCCACCTGGTTGAGTCTTTTCTTTGTCATGCCTCCACCTTCCCAAGCTTTCTTATCAACATGCCTAGTATGTGAGATGAAGCTTCATCGTGTTTGCCTCCAAGGAGCACTCTGGCTACACCTTCTCCAAGATACAGCTGTTTGTTCTTTTGGCTTGGATATAGATCTATTACTCTGTTGGAAAAACAAGTTTTAAACATTTCTCTCCTTCATTTGTTTCAATGCAGTATACATAATTTATTCCATCTTTCTCAGTCTCTCCCCAACCCCGATGTCACTCCCGATTTACAACAGTGGCGCCATGCAGTATTTGTCCTTTTGTGACAGAGATATTTCACTCAGCATATGATTAGATATTGTCATGCCAGGAGTCCAGAATGAAGACTGCTTAGTGGAGTAGACTTAGGGGGAGGGATTGTGTAACAATGAAAGAATTTTTCTTTTATTTTTCAAAGAGAAGAGTGAACTGGGGAGGCGGAGCAGTGGGCAGGGAGAAAAGTGCAACAATGAATGAATGGAAATCCAAAGTCTCTGTAAACGTTCATTAAAATTAATAATACTTAAAAAACTTTAAAAAAAAGAAAAGAAAAAAGTTTGCTGAAAAACCATCTCCACCTTTCTACGAAGATAATGTCAAAAGCCAAGAAGGCAGGCACTGCCCCTCCAAAACTGAAGTCAAAGCAAAGGCATTAAAGGACAAGAATGCAGTCCTGAAGGGCATCCACAGCCAAAAAAAGAGGACCTACATATCAGCCACCTTCCAGCAGCCTAAGATGCTGAGACTCTGAAGGCAGCCCAGATACCCCCAGAAGGTTACCCCCAGGAAAAACATGCTTGAGCACTGAGTCAGCCATGAAGAAGATAGAAGATTACAACACACTAATGTTCATTGTGGGTGTCAAGGCCATCAAGCACCAAATGAAACTATAAAGACATGTGGCCAAGGTCAACACCCTGATTAAGCCTGATGAAGAGAAGTAGGTCTATGTTCAACTTGCTCCTGATTGTGATGCTTTGAATGTTGGCAACAAAATTGGGATCATGTAAACTGAGTCAGGGAGCTCTAGTGGCCTGGTGGTAAGAAGCTGCACTATAATCCCAAAGGCACTTGGTTCGAGGTCACCACTCACTCCACAGGAGGAGGATAGAAAAATCTCGTGCGATTAGATTAACTGCCTCTGAAAACATGCTGGAGGGTCAGCTGTGGGATGGTTCCAACTCCATCGTACACACAACAACAACAAACTAAATCCAGCTGCCTAATTCTAAATACACACTTTTCTTACTAATAAAGATAAACCATCAGCCCCTCCCTGTGCTATTCAGTATGAATAGGACTTGGTTGTCTCGTTCAAGAAACAGGCTTACAAAATTGGTGCAGCAGAGAATCTAAGGGCAAACTTCCCA